TATGTAAGTTTGTGCATGGAAACATGTAAGAAGAATAAAGAAGTCAAACAACTATTAGACTCCATTTAGTGATATTCCTGTTGAAACACTAGAAGGAAAATGTACTGATGTGCTGAAAGTTACTTCAACAGCAAAAGGAAGATGGATCCATGACTGAATAGAGGAATGGAGTGATACACAATAAATGAGAAGCACAGGGTACAAAATTTTTCCATTTTTCTTTAGGTTTGAGAAATTTTATAATAAAAGGAAAGGAAAAATACCTTCCCTGCCCTCTTAGAGTTATATATTGTCACAGAGGATAATCAACAGCAAATAAAACTATTAAGTAAATTATAGATTGAAATAGAAGATGATGAGGGTTGGAAGAAACCAAAGGGACATCGGTGCATGCTGGGTGGGACTCACCATTTTAAACAGGGTTTCATGGGGGACTTCCTGAGGAAGGTGGGGAAAGTAGCCTGCAGCCCAGGGGATGAGTGATCCAGGGGAGGAAAGGAGATGTGAGAATATCACAACATCACATTGCACCCCCTGCATGTGTACAATTAGCATGTGTCAACTAAAATTTAAAACAAGAAAGAAAAAGGTTGTTGGGAGATGTCAGGTTTTGAGCAGAAAAGAGCTTGATCTGACTGATCTTAAAGGAATCCTTCTCTCGTCAGGGTCTAGAGAAGATGACAGCTCATCCATTCTAAGTTCAGATCATGTCTTCCTTGTGGTAGGAATCAATAAATATTTGTTGGATGAGCAATTATAAGCGTAAAATGAAAGTCTTACAGTGGAATAGAGATATTCTTGTACGTGCTTTCTTTTTCAAACCAGAATCATTTACTTGACAGAGGCATTTTAATTGAGCATTTTGAAAATGTGGCAAATGCACTCTTTGGTCCTCTCCATGGAAAGATAAAATAATAAGCCACGTCTAGCCCCTGATTTCTTCAGTTACAACAAAGAAACTGCAGRCTTTTGTTATCACTGTAGTGACTAGGAGAGTGATGGCCACCATCTAGGCCCCCCTCTCACCAATACACGCACCTTCTTCCCCTCTCCAAGAATTATCAACCAACTTAAGGGAATAAAAGGTTATGATTTCCCATTAGGTGGCCCTGGCGAAACTTCTGCTCCATGGAGCCCATGTCTGGTGCTTTATGCCTGCAACACATGACCCAGGCTAACCTTCAGCATGAATCCACAGTGATGCTGACTTGCCTGGCCCCATTCTCTCCTCTGGAGACTCCCAGCCTTGTCTTTGAGATCTCTCATTTCCCTTCGATAGTCTGACTCTAGGAGATTATAGATCCTTTTGCTTTCCCACTTAAATATATTCTAGGTAGCCTTGCTCTTTTAATATTTACAGCTCATTCACTYACCTACCACCGGCTCCTAAGTTTACAGGCGATAAAGCACCTTCACTTACTCCAGCCCTGCACACTGGACACCCTGGACTTCCTTCCCCTCAGGTGACTACTCAGGTTCCTCAGGACACCACATTAGTGGGAAAAGGACTATTCAGATGTCCCCTCATAATCCCAGTGTGCCTGGCCACTCTCTGAGTCTCAAGGTTACCTTTGAACCTCTGGTTAGGAGCTTTCATGCAATTTGGAACCCTGTTGCCTGCAGAAGGCTCCCAAAGTTCCAATAATGGATTTGCAAATTAAGCTGCCCTAGAACTTTCTGTGCCAGGAGACAAAACAATTCTTCAGCAAGAGCAAGTGCTGACTTCCAGCCATTTGTATTATTTACTACTGAGGCCAGAAAACAACCCAAACAACAAAAATTTGGTATTTTTAGATGTTTTATCAAGTGAAAAAAAAAAAGAGTTTACTACCTTCATTTAAAACTTTCACAATTTTGAGTGAAGTATACATTAATAAATATTGATAAGTTAATATGAAYATAAAATGTGCATTAAAAGTTTTTTAACATAAAAGACAAAAAAAGCAAATATCCTTATTTACTTGTTGCTTAGATTATAGAAAAGTTGTATCAGTTCTTTAGCCATATCAATTGAATCGTTACCATCTGGATTCAATTAATAACATTCTGAAAGAGTGCTAGAAATTTTGAGCAACTAGCTGGAAAAAAATGTCTTGGATTATGTATACAAAGGAGATACATAAACATAGAGATTTAGAAACCACATTTGAATTATGAATTCTGGGGACATAAACAGAATTCATTAATGATTCTAAAATAAGAGTCTTCTGTTTGAAACTACTTTCCCATGGGTGATAARAATTTATAACAAACAGTAAGAGACACGAGTTTCTCATTTTTTATTCTCCTTATGAGGCAAACATGAGTGAAAATAAAAATTCCCAAGAGTACTCATGGGAGTGACAAACAAGGAGAAAAGAATTGAATGTAGATAATTCACAAAAAGTTAATGCCCCAGTTGCTTTGATTTCCTCTAAATAAAGGTTGGTTGTAATTGTTGGATAATAAGAATATTTTGTTTCAGATGTGACAGCAGCATTTCAAATGGATTATGGTTTCACATTCACATGGAGTAAGAGATTAAGTTTCTGATTTAATTTATCAATGATTCAGGATATGGGATGTCCCTATAGGGCAAAGGCAAATGCATCCTTCTTTAGTGTGGTTCCCATGGCAACACTTGATACTGACCATGCAGCCAGCAACACTAAATTTCCTGACATCAGAATCATGGTTATTCTTTAGCACACTTTTGGTTATTTGATGCTTTCTGATATCATCCTAACCTTTTAGGCTTTCAATTACCCAACTGGCTTTATTACAGAAACTCGAAATCTCTGATCAAATATTGCCCTATCAGACCTAGACCACCCTACATAAAAAAATATTCCCATCATTCTCTATCTCTTGAATCTTATTTTATTTCTCTTCAAAATATTTATCACCCTATTATTTGTCTATTGTTTATCATTCACCTCCCTCCATTAGCAAAGCAAACTCTATGAGAGCTGGGCCCYTTGGTCTTCTTCATTGTTATATCTTTACACCAAAGAATGGTGCCTGGTAGATAGCCCCTCGATAAATATTGCCTAATAAATGAATAAATGGAAAAATAACAACTTAGTAGAAGAGACTCTGTTCTATTTTGGATAGTTTAGAATGAGGAGCTTAGAAACATGGGTCAAAAACAGAGGAGGATATTGAAGAGATGCTAACTCAGATGATCAACGATACTGAATAAAAATGGTGGGGGTAGATGAATTCATTCACTAAAGAAACAGTGAGAAGAAAATGAGTAGAGAATCTCATAGAACACCAGTTTTTAAAAGTAAGGTACAAAAGAGAARTGAGGAGGAGGAGGAATGAAACTTAGGCACACAGTTTTAAGGAGGCCACTGGTCAATGRTGCCCAAACCTGCAATGAGTATCAGCTATATAAGAGCAGGTAGCTAGGAAGGAACACATGATGACYTATGAAAGGCCAGTTGGAGTGAAATGCTGAATCAGAATCCAGGTTGCTGTACCTTCAGAGATAAAGAAAACCAGGATAGAAAGGGAGCAAGCCAAGATCCTCTCTCACATCACTGGAGCTGCAAGGAAATATTYGTTGAATAAATCATACATAGATAGATAAATAGATAGAATTTCTCTTCAGAACCCAAATGGCACATAACTTGTGACTGAAGTCAAGGGATTTATATGGTAAACAAAACATTTTTTAAACAGCACAGATTGTATTAAGGTATTTCCCTAATCAAAATCAATTTACTGAGCAGCTTTTCCTCAATAAGCACAGAGTGTATTTCTACAACTTATTATTAATGAGCTCCTAAGCCTTTCATTTTTATTCTAATTTTCTATTTTTGTTTAAAATGCATTCTTGGGCAATGGAGTGGGACCTGAACCTTGCTCTTTGGAATGGGGAGCCTCTCTGCTGTACACAATGGATTTAGCTTCCCAGGTATGCCAGAGGCAACTCTAATGTGTAAAGGAGCATGCCCTAAACTGAACTCACAAAGGCCTAGCTGTGAAGGTAACATGATAATAAATGCATGGAAGAAGAGACTGTGCTTTCCGCTAGAAGAACCAAAAAAATAATTACATGGAGAAATATATTTCCAGTGAAGTTTAAATAGAAAATTATGATTAAATTTCTTGCTTTTCTGAGTACACAGCAAAGCAGACTAAACTGTGGTTCTCAAACTAGAGCACACAAAGAAATCACCCAGAGGGCTGTTGAAACAGAGATTGCTGGGCCACACTCCCAGAGTTTCTGATTCAGTATTTCTGGGGTGGAGCCAAATAATTTGCATTTGTAACAAGTTCCCAAGTGTTGTGTATGGTGCTAGGAAAAAAAAAAAAAAAAAAACACTCCCAAGAACCACTGGTCTATGCAAAATATACCATACATTTGTATAACTTCTTTTCCTAACTTTCCCCTCAAAGAAAGCACTACTTCCCTGGCTTTCTTAAGTTTTTCTTGTTGAAAAAAAAAATTTTAAAAATTGAAACTTTATAAACAGTAATGAAGTGGTATGAGGAATTAGCTTATCTGAGATCCAGCCTTTCACCCACTTTAGGGCAGAATGAAAGTTTGAACTTAATTCAATAGATGTTGGCCCCYCAAATGAAATCATACTAACATAATACAAGTATCCAACAATAAAAATCRATCTTTCAATTGCAATCTTTCAATCGCAAAACATTCATCACATAAACACTTCTCCCCATCAAAGTCTCTTAATACTTTTCTAGAAAAGGAGATTTGGTGGTCATAAAGTGACAGGAAAAAAAATAACTCTGTGCCACACAGATCTTTTCCATTTTTTATTCATTCGTTTTATTTTTTTGAGCCCAAGAGAAAAAAAAATAGCACACCTAAAAAGGTAAACAATCTAAAAGTATAATACTTAAATTGAGATCTTTGTAATTGAATTATTTGTCTTCCTTTGATTAATATATTGATAAAGAGACCAGATGCATCCTAGGTAGGCATTAACACCAGTGTGCAGAGCTGATAGAGCTGTCTAGCGAGGCTCTGAAAAAGTGTCTCACCTGCTCTACATATGAGCAATTCCAAAGAGGTTAGGGTCACGCCGATTTAAACATTTGTAAGAACAAATTAATACCTGGACAGGTACCAGCTGTAGATTTCTGCTTATCTTCCAGTTCTAAAAAAGTAAAGATTAAAAATTAAATTAAGGCAGGATCCAATAAATATTTTTGATTGTAATAACTATTCACTCAGAGGTTTCAGAACATTGACTTCTAAAGGACACACTCTTTTCTTTTATGCTTGATTTGCTCTTTTCCCAACACAAATAAACAAACTTAACTAGATAAGAAATGCATACTCAATATCAAACAAAATTCAAATGATAAAGGATTATATGTGCTTTTATCCAAATTTTAGCACACAGTTCAACCATAAAGTGCTTGGTTGAAGGTGAAAATAGTACATAAACCTGACTCCTGTTGGACAGGGGCATTAAATTGTCAGTCAGCAAAACACTGGCTGAACTTTCCTCTGGGCATCTCAGTTTTGCCTATCCAGCAGCCATTTCCTATGGAAATTAACTTTCCTAATATTCTTTGTTCGCTATCTAAAATGTTCATTAAGAAGTTCACTGGCTAGATTTCCAGCAAATTGTTCAATGCATGACTTAAAATTTTACACTTCAACAACTTCTGTTCTTACTTCTCATTGTACAAAATAGGTAGTCAAAATCCTGCCATCCTGAATACTCAGAAAATATCCTGAATACTCATGTTCCAAATAACCATAACAAAACCCTGGGTTTGATYCTCAGCACTGCCAAAAAGAAAAAAGAAGAAGAAATATTCACAACTTCAAAGGCTTACCATTTGTATGCTTTGTAATCAATTTCTGGAGTCAACATAGTTCTCAGTAAGTGGATTCAAAACAGAGACATAAAACCAGCACTTTAGTCACTTAACAATGCTCTCTATGTTGCTTTACCATGAAACAATTTGGCCAATATCACAAACCACAAAGAGAGATTTGATTACTGTTCTATCTACTCTTCCGCAAAAGAACTTTGAGATCCTATTTAGAGGTTTGAACACCACGTACACACAGTTATTAACCCACACTTGAGGGAATAACAGCCTCCTTAATACAGGTGACCTGTCACAGAGGGGGGCCAAAGACATAGGTCACATCACCTTCATACCTACCTCAAACAAGGACTGTGAAGCACACTATCTTAACCACAAAATATTTTGGGTGAAGGTAAAAAGAATATCTACAATCCTGACTTATTCCTACAAGGATGTTAAGCTGATCAGTTAGCAAACATTTCCTGAACTCCCCAGTGAGCATCATGGTTTTGTCTGCTTAGTGCCCATTTCCCAYTCTAATGGCACAAAAGGCCACTTTTTCCACTAGAAAACCATTCCTCTTCCAATCTCAGTTCCTGTGATGGAGAGCACCAAGGCCACAGATCATATACCTCCTGATTCAAGAAATGACCTCATAACTCAGATTCAGCCAATGACCCAAGCACTTCCTTCTGACAACCTTGATAGCCTTGGTAATCACATGATCCAATGATGCCAAGGAGTAACAACATTAGGACTTTTTTCTAGATCTATTGAGAGAGGAAAGCTCTCTTTCTATTTCATAGGGTACAATTTAGGGAGCTCCTACCTAAAACTGAAGCAAAGACAAAAGAAAGCAGAGACAATAAGTAGAAAAGGACAGATAAATTTGGAAACCTGGTCTAGTGATGGCTAAGTATTCAGCCCGACCAACCCCTGGCCTTCATTAGTTGAGTTAATGTGTGAATTAAGGTTTTTTTTTTAACATTCAACCAAGAGTCCTAATCAATTATAAGTAACCTAAAATCTGCATGATATTAGGCAAAGTGCCATAAATACTAAAATATGCAGCAAACAATCCCTCCCTCCAAGAACCTTTTTAGCAGTTGGAAAGACAAGAACTAAACACAATAAATAACTAGAAACATATGGCTAGTTCTATAGTGATAAGTTCTATATGAATGCAGAGAAGGGAGACATTACCATAAACTGCACCGATGTAAGATTCCATAATATTAAAAAAAGGCAAGCTGGGTTTGGAAGGAAGAGGACTAGATGTGGCTGCCTGTAGAGGAGGCCAGAGGACATTTTTTTAAAAATTGTAAACTTGAGAGCAGAAATTCAAGAATGCACGTTAAGAGTACGGGGGAAACAACACAGTTCAAATGATAACTAGACCAGAAAAGATTAAACCAGGGGATATCAACAATACATATAGGAGTAAAAAGAACTTAAAAGTATTTTTGCAATGAGAGACATTATAATATTTTGAATGTACTCTAAATGAGATAATATTGATTACTTAACTATAATTGGTAAGTGTTGAAATTGTGCTGGGAGAACAAATGGCAAAAAAACAAAACGGATTGTAGTCTTTCTCCTTCCAGATAGTAGACAGCCCTCTCATCCAACAGCTCTTCCTGCCCACTTCTGAAACTTATCTCAGCTGGAACGATGGGACTATCGAAAATAAACCATGCCACATCAATCTTACTCAGCTCCCATTTAAGACATCAGAACCAATAACAGAGCCGTGAATGAAGAGGAACAGTTTAGAGAAAGAAGCAAAAATAAACCACGGGAGCAAGTGGGGCCATACTGTTATCCAATGTGCTTGGTCCGAGTTTCTTCATGAGATGAAAAGTTTATAATAGAAAGTATTAAAGGCATTTTCTATTTCCACTGTGGTTTTAGCCATCTCCCTTGTGTCATTTAGAAATTACATGGGCAGAGTTTGGGTTGGCTCTTGTTGCAAGCAGGAATGTAAAGTGTCTGTGCCCTCTTTTCCTCTTCTGGGGAGGATTATGATTTAGTTAATTGAATAAAATGTTTTGTTCAGATTTTTAGGAATTTGTTTTGTGCAAGGCCGTTATCACTTTTGTAGTGAATATGTAACTTTGCTGGTTATTATTCTCTAAATTAATAACTTTCGTTTGTAGTATAGTATTTCTCAGGGCTATGRACTGTTTCCTGGGAATTTTGCTGAGTAAAAAGGATTCGACATGACTTCTGGAAATACACTTTTCCATCTAGACTCATCATTCTCAGTAAGTTTGCACRAGAAAAATTCTCTAATACTTCACTTTCATATGCTGAAATTTCTATTTCCACTTGTGGTTTGGTCTCCATTGTTTCTACTGGTACAACATATGTCCATTTGAAATGAGCATGTTACAAAGGAAAAGTGACACACTCTGTGGAGGACCACTCTTCATAAACCTCATTTAACAAATCCTCCCGACTGTCAAAGACAGTTACTACATTGTTGTTTACAAATAGAAATTAAAACACCGAGCAAAATATCCTTTTTGTCAAGCCAAAGACAGAGAAGATAAAAAGAGTTTATAGACATGCTTTTGTTTTGAAAGGATATCATTTAGTAAAAAAAGCTTTAAAAAGTGAAACGCTATACTTAAGTTTAATTTCTCACTCTTCAACTATTTTTATTATTTCCTAAGGCAAATAAACTCAATTATATCCCCCTTCTTCCTTCAGGGAAAAAGTAGTTTTCCACTCTAAACTTAAATATGCATGTTTTCTAAGTTTTATGTTTGTTGAACTGGTAGAATTGGGATATTTTTAAGTCATTCAACATATGACTCAATGACAATGACTTCCATATTTTAAATGTTGATAAATTAAAAATTATTGAATATATATGTATGGCACACAGTATAAAGTTCAGATAAGGTTTCAATATTATGTGAAGCACAAGAAATAGAACAAAGAGTAAAATAATTTCCTGTTTCCTCAGGAAAAGATATCATGGTAGACGAAACAATATCCCCATCCCAACCCTTACAAAGATAGCGACATCTTAATTCACAGACCTATTATATATGMATGTCACATTACATGGCAAAAAAGAGTTTTGCAGATATGAATAAGTTAATGACCTTAAGCTAGGTAGGTTATCCTGAATTACCCAGGTGGGCCCTAAGTAATCATAATCATTGTTAAAAGTGGAAGAGGGAGGGCTGGGGGTGTGGCTCAGTGGTAGAGTGCTTGCCTCACATGTGCAAGGCYCTGAGTTCGATCCTCAGCACCACATAAAAATAAATAAATAAAAATAAAAATATTGTGTCCATCTACAACTRAAAAACGAAAACAAATAAAAGTGGAAGAGGGAGACAGAAGAAAAGGTTCAAGTGATATGAGAAAGGCCAGATCTACCAAGACTGGCTTTGAAGATGGAGGAAGACCATGCATTAGGGAATGTGGGCAACTCTAGAAGCTATAGAGTACAAGACAGTGGATTCTCTTCCATAGTTTCCAGAAGCCAACTCAGCCTGTAATGCCTGTTAGCTCAGTGAGACTCATATTGGATTCCTGACCCATTGGACCACAAGACAATGAATATCTTCTGTAAAGTCCCAAGTTCAGGGCAATTTGTTACAGCATGAATAGAAAACTTAACAGTGGTCTCACATTCCAGATTAGCAGGACTTGTTACAAAGGAAGAATGACACTCTCTCTTTGAAAGACCAGGCCTGAGGAAGGCAGTCTCTCTCCCTCTCTGGAGTCAAGTCAACTGCAATCTACAAAAGACTTTTTGGTCTATTCCCTTCATTGTCCAGATGAGGAAACAAGTTCAGATACAGCAAGAAAGTAGGTGACCTACCTTAGGCCTCATGTTCAAGATACAGACCAGACTAGAATCCAAGTTCTAGTTCACAAGATTGTGTTAATCATAGCTTGTCCCTAGCCCTTTCACTAATGAATGGTTGTGATTAGTGGACTGATATTGCAGAACAGATTGATAGCATTACCAGTTGTAGGAAAGTGCATATTTTCAGATAATGTCCAAGAGAAGCATATTGCTCTACTCTCTTCCTGTTTCAGGTTGATGATTACACGTGTTCACTTGAATCATCCAGCATCACTTGAAACTCCTCACCGATCTTCTTTCCCTTCACCCCCCGCCCCCCGTCATAGGTGGTACATTCTGTCATTCCCTTTTTGTGGTATCTCCCTTCAGTGCACTTACTGCTATACCTTTTTCCTGCTATAAGACAGCCATTCTAACCTTTCTTTAGTTCCTCTTCAACCTCCAAGCACACTACTGCTAAATGACTAAAAAACTCTAAAATTTTTTTTTTATATCATGGAC